TGCGCTGAGCGCTCGGCCCGGCCTGACGCCGCCAACGCGCCGATCACCTACTCTCAGCCGTGGGGCCGGGAAACGGGCGAGGGGCGGTTGCGGGGGTGTCTTTCGGAGAGGCTGTTCCCCCCCCCAGCTGGCTCCGAGGCGGCTGCAGAGCGTTTCCTGCGCATGCGCAGGAAACGCTCTGTTGGTTTTGGGGGATTTAAATATCCCCCCGATATTTTTGGCGGGGGTTCAGATTTTTGTGCACACGTGGGGACTGCCCCACGTGTGCTTAAACCTCCCCCTGCCCCCCAAGTGCCCCCTCTGTGCTGATTTAGATATCCGCACAGAGGGGGCTACTTCGGTATTAGTATAAGGATAATAATAAAAGGGAAAATATACGTTCTTTATTTATAAAACACTTTAGTTATGAAATGCTGAAGAAAATCCCAGCTGTGTTTCCAGCTCTGTAAATTGAAATATGATCATGAAAACCACTCTGCAAGACAAACTTTTTAATAACGTCATACTCCATTCATGGTACATCAGTATGGGGCAAAAGTTTCCCCCCTCCACCTTCTGTTGCAGTCCAGTGAGCTCCCCAAAATACTGCTTCTGGGGGACAGGGGTCTCTCAGAGACAGCAGGGGGGATGCCAAATGGTGATCTGCAGTAGTGGCTTGGGGAATTGTCCAGAGATGGTGGCCTGGCCTCTGGACTGCTCCCATGAGCCTTACTTCAGTCACGGGTAGCCTGCAGGGAGGTGGAGAAATCACGGGGGGAGATGGCAGGGGCGAGCAGGAAAAGAGAGCATGGGGTAGAGAATGGAAGCTTACAGGGAGGGTAGCCATGGGATGGGAGGAGGGCAAACCAGCAAGGGGGAGGAGCCACTAGAGCATCAGTCTATAAAAGGAGGCACTCTATGACCAACAGGGGAGGAGGAAGAGAGCCCACAGGTGAAGGAAAAGGCTTGAGGGGGAGAGAAAGCAGCAAGAGGAGGCTGTCAACCCACTCCTTCATCCTAATTTTTTTCAGAGGCTGTGAGAGCTTCCACACCCAAAACAACAGAGAAATGGGAGGGGCCCCTGAAGGCAGCAGGCAAAGCTCACAGGAATCAATGAAAATCACTCTCTTCCACTGGTCATAGTACGTTCCAGCAGCAGAAGGTGACCTTTGGATCCAACTCATTGTGATTCTACAATTGATTATAGTATCTTAAATTTCAGAAACCACAAATTCAGTGGGTTGGATCCAAATGTGCCCCTTCTGTTCACATAGGAATCATCTGGGAACAATGTTCCTGTTGTTCATGGAAGGCTTTTTTCTTTTCACAGGAGGGTCTCTTTCAATGTAGTTATTTCCTCCGGATCAAAAATTAATTGGTGAAAATTATTACATAACCAGTATGCTAAATATATATACCTTTCAGATGGCAAAGTCCCTTCCTAACTAGTCTTTCAAATTTAGGACCCACTCAGTACAACTTTGTTAGTGTGTGACTTCCATGGAGAAAAACCCTGTCTGTATCAGTGTACTGCTGGACTAGCCTTTGGGATTTGAAAGCCATTCAGTAATATAGTTCACTAACAACGGTTGAAGATCTTGTATATTGTAAAAGAAAAGCAAAAACGTCTTTAGATGTTTCTATCTAATTGTGTTGGTAATAGGAACAGCAATAAAACAAGATTTTGTCCTCAAAATGGGAGGAAACACTGAGTGACGATAATAAAGAAGTTGAATGGAAAATAATTTGTACAGCATGTTCAGCAAATGCAATCAGTACAAATACAGGAGTTTTTTTATCAAGTGACTTATTTGTTGTGTTTAACTCCTCATAAACCTCTTTTGTATTAGTATTCCTTTCAAATGTAATACTGCCAACTTTTTACAGGAGGATGCAGAAATGACCAAAGTGTTTGATGAAGAAATGGAAACCCCCCCACCAAGAAACATTCCATCTCCTGGGCAACTGGACCCTGACACTCGCATCCCTGTCATTAACATAGAGGATGGGACCAGGCTGGTGGGAGAGGATGCTCCTAAAAACAAGGATTTAGTTGAATGGCTTAAACTGCATCCTTCTTACACTGTTGATATGCCAAGTTATGTACCAGTAAGTGGATGCTAGTTATGGAGGCTGAAATTAGTCAATTGTTAGGACAAACCATATTTGTTAGTCAGTTGATAGAACGTGCAAACTCTGTAATTCTTAACATGGTACATTCTAATAGCAAAGTCTAACAATCTTTGGAAAATTTGGCAACTTGAACTGTGAATGGGCAAGACAGATCGTTCTACACATCTGAAAAGGGCCGCAGGTTTGCAGAAAAAATAGATGGGGGGAGGGTTAAAAAAAGCTGAAAATGATCAAAGGTGTGCCTGTAGCTTTAAGGAAGTGATTACCTCTGTGGCTGTTGCTAGGCAACCACATTATTCCAGGCTCAGTTTATGTGAGGGAAAGGACAAGGCCATCTTACTTTGTAAGTTCACTGCATGATCTAGGGCCAGTCACATAGTTTCAGTCTAACCTACCTCACAGGATTGTTGTGTGGATAAAAAGGAGGAGAGGAGAATAATATACGCTGCTTTGGTCCCCACTGTGGACAAAGGCAAGTATAAATGGAGTAAATAAATAATAAATATAGCTGAAGATGGGAGGCAGATAAAAAGGTTGGTGAACGACTGAGAATGAGATAATGAGGCAGGGGAAAGGGAGAGGATATGGAGGTTTTCCGTAAACAGAAAGAGCAAATAGTGCAGGCAGGAGGATATAGGGGAAAGGGAGGTGCCATTCCACAACTCCTTGTGGGTTCCTACTGTGCAAGTGAGCCTGGCCCAGCGGGCTAGCATCACACAACTAGGCCAGTTTTCCTAAGTAGAGGCTGCTGTGGGAGAGTTGGAGACAGAAGGGCAGATAATGTTAGGTTGGCTGTCAGATGGGAAGGAGAGAGAGTTGCCAAGTCCAGATTAGGCGATTCCTTGAGATCTGAGCCTGACTCAGTGGAGAGGGCAGGGTATAAATCAAATAAATAAATAAATCTGGGGGACGGAGCCTGGGAATGGTGGGGTTTGAGGAGAGAAGGGACCTCAGAGGGTTATAATGCCATAGATTCCACCCTCCAAAGCAGCCATTTCCTCCATGGGAACTAGGGTTGCCAAAACCTCCAGGTGGGGACTGGAGATCACTCAGAATTACGTCTGCTCTCCAGATGACAGAGATCAGTTCCCCCGGAGAAAATGGCTGCTTTGCAGGGTAGACTCTGTGGCATTATACCCTGCTGAGGTCACTTCCCTCCTCAAACCTCACCCTCCCAAGACTCTGGGTGGGAGATCTGTTATGATTCCAGGACATCTCCAGACCCTACCTAGTAGGAAAGAA